ACAGCGAAGTTATCAACGGATCCCAAGTGTTGTGGTGTTTTGGAGTACCTACCAACCTCTTAGTGGAAGATCCGACGAATTCAATCATTCTGATAGCTTTTAACACTTTGACTTCAGTTACTGCTTTACTAGGTAATTTTATGGTGCTTATAACACTTTGGCGTACTCCAAGTTTACATTCGCCCTCAAACACTCTGCTGTGCGGTCTCGCACTGTCTGGTCTTTGCATTGGGTTTTTATCTGGGCCAATAAATGTTGGATTCAATATTATGCGTTTAAGGAACTCGGTCCACCTAAAATCGTGCGCGCTGATGAACACAATAATTTTATTTACTACATATTTAACACCAATTACTCTCTGTACTCTGACAGCAATGAGCATTGATCGCTATTTAGCATTACACTTGCATCTTCGGTATGAGCAAGTTGTCACAGAGAGAAAAACAACTGGACTCCTCATATTGGTGTGGTTCTTTAGTGGCCTATATCCACTGATATCAAGTCTTGACGAGAAACCTGTGACCAGTTCATTAATTGCATCCACAATAGCAATTTGCCTTCTTGCAGTTTCCTTTACCTGGATAAAGATCTACCAAGTTGTGCGACGTCATCAGGCTCAGATTCAGGATCAGATGAATGCACAGGCACAACAATTTAACATGGCCAAGTTCAAGAAATCTGCTGTGAATGCCTTGTTTATCTTGCTCCTTCACCTAGTCTGTTTCCTTCCTCTTCTCGTTGCCAAAATTGCTCTGGCTGTTCGAGTAAATCGTTTAAATGTTCGTATACTTAATTTCACTTATATTCTAGTTTTTCTAAATTCATCATTGAATCCACTGGTTTACTGCTGGCGTCAACGTGATCTTCGTGCTGCAGTTAAAGAAACTGTTAAGAAGTTATGTTGTTGCAGGAAACGCTAGACGAAAAGACCTAGTCACCAAATGGCAATATTAACTGCAGTTACGTTGCATTTACATGATGTACTCTTCGGTACACACTTAAAATTTACTGCTTTTAATTCGTCGAATTTATATGACGAGCTCATGACGGTCAATTTTCATGAAAATCGAGTTGTATTACCCAATAAAACCAATTGTTCTACTAAGCTTTGGAGTAATTCGATGGAAAAAATGTTGCGCAAGGAACTCAGTTTGTTGGATACTGAAGAAGAACCAAAAGGGGATCTGTAAACCGGATAAAAATATTTGCAAAACGCAGAAATAATGAAGTTCTTGCGCATTTTTAATCAAAAAACGGATGTTCAAATTGGGAAGTTGAGTAAACATAACTGGCCGTGATAAAAGCCATAAATAATTGCAAGCGGGTTCATACCGTGTCCTGAGCTAAAAAAACGGAGTTCGAGGTTTCGACAAAGATTAATAAAAATGTGTATTGATTTTTCCCTTAACTTGTACTAATTTTAAATAAAAGACAGTTTAATTAATACGTTGAAGAAACATATCAGGTTTACGAATTGTTTTTTTTTTATCAACAACCAAGCAAAGTAATTTAGTTTTCCACAGACGCAAATTTGGTCCCCTCTTTGATGAGGAAAAACACCTGGCTCTCTTTCATATGAACTTTAATGTACCTGGCTCTCTCTAAGTTAACCTTCTAGCTAAGAGCGCGGTGTACACGGTATTATGGGTATTTTTGAACTCCAATAGGAGTACTCAGCGTATCGCTTCTTAACCACCAAGCACAGCATACCTTGTTCCCTATTCCTCCTCGCAACTGTTTCAAACGAAATATATGTTGCATCAGAAACAGAAGAAAAATTTAACTCAATTTTTCTGGAGAGCGCTGAGCAAAAAAGCGCCATAAATTGACCTTCTAAGAGGCGCTGTTTTGACTGTCAAGAATAGGCATGAAAAAAGAGAAAAAAAGAACAAAAATATTAATCGAAAGAATGTCACGAAGTCCCCTATGGTTCCATCGACTAAGGAAACGAGTGCTGGTTAAAACACAGGAATAATAAAACTGTTACCATTTTGGAATAAGATCTGTGGATGCGTATTTGAAGTAAATGATAAAGTCTTTAAAAAGCCATTAACTTTTTTCATAACAAAATATGATTTTTACTCAGTTGATGTCTCCTAGCGTATCACTGACATAACTTAGAATTTTAAACGCCTCTGGCAGGTTCCATATTAGAAATTCTTCCTCAGTCTAACACTGCTGTTTGCATTATACCTGTACATTTTTTTTTAACATTTCCAGTTGGAATCATCACAGATCTATTTCCAAGTTAGGGAAATTCATCTGTTTATTTATAACAACTAGCGATCATTAACCGTGGTTAGTCCTGAGTACCCTTTAAAAGTGCGCCTCATTCTAGTATTGGCTGAGCTGAGACAGCAATGCTCTCAATCGAACATTCGTCGGTTCCTCGTCTGATACGGAAGAAGCCACTCTCGCCCCAGCTCTCCCCCCAGCTGTTTTTCACAATCCAGAACTTTTCACCTGTCTCTTTATCAGCTCCATATCCAACGATTGCCACCACGTGGTTAGTTATTTCAAAAGGGTTAAATTTGTCCGTCAGACCTGTGTCATAAAGAGAGCAGTAAGACAAAACACAAGATCAGTTGGTTGTATGAAACAGAGTATATTAAGTAATGGCAATATTGCAACTTGTAAGTATTGCTTCTTATTGGAGATAAACTTGTTTGTATGCTGCAGTCTGGAACTGACTTTCCACCTTGGCTAAAGATATGTCCACACTGCATCTCAGATGAATGACTGTGAATAAGTGGTTAACAGCAAAACCATCAAAGGAACCTGATGAAAGGTTGCTGAGGGTGGGGGGGGGGGG